AGCCACCACGTTATCCCTCAACCGCTCAGCATGACGGAGAAATCCATTAACTTCTTGTGTAAGCCACTGCCATTTTTGCCTTGGACAATGCAACTGACCTGAAAGCTAATTAATTCAGAGATGAACCTACTTTTGACTAATTATGTATACTGAGGTAAATTTAAGTGTTTTCTGTTCTTTATCAAACACAAAAAAATCTCTTTTCAAAGTGATTTTACTGGCTGCTCCGTGGCATGAAACCAAGAAAGCAGACAGGCAGCTTCTCTGCAGGTGGGTGAACCAAAAAAAAAAAAATGTATGCCCCAAACAATGGGGTATCTATGTACATCAAAAACCCTTCTCAACCTCAAGAGTCAAACAGACCACAACACAGTAGTACTGGGTTCAAACATTTTTAACCATACATAGTAATACAGACGTGAACATGTATGTAAAAATAGACATGAAAATATTTAAATGGATATGGATTTGAGTGTAGTTATTTTTCTTTTGAGATGGATGTTTACAGTTTTGGTAAGATATAGGATATGATTATGCAACTGAATATATATGAAAATTTATGGGTAGGATTTGGGTTGTCATTAGGGTACATACACATAAATATGAATGCATATAAACATATGGAATATGTATGTGAAAATACACATGGATATTCAGTAATATTTATAACTTTTGTTTAAAAGGCTTATGATTATGGTAGGGTTAGGTTTAGTTCTGAGCTACTACTTTGGTCTACCTTTGGAACATATGTATCAGTATATATGAATAGAAATATGAATATAGAGGTAATATTATATATTAAATATATATACACATTTTATGGATTATTTTTAAGATAAGCAATATTGTCATATTATGTGTGGGTTTTGCCTATGGAAACCAGTATGTGTGTGTGTGTGTGTGTGTGTATATATATATATATATATATATATATATATATATGGGTTTTTATGTAAATTTATGACCTTATATCCCCAAATATTATAGGTACATTCATATAATGTTATGGTTTATATGTATAGAGGTTTCTCTGAGGTGCATTGGTTTGTATAGAGCTAATGTAGAAAAATAGGGCTAGTTTGGGGCTGGGGATGTGGCTCAAGCGGTAGCGCGCTCGTCTGGCGTGCGTGCGGCCCGGGTTCGATCCTCAGCACCACATACCAACAAAGATGTTGTGTCCGCCGAGAACTAAAAAATAAATATTAAAATCCTCTCTCTCTCCTCTCTCACTCTCTCTTTAAAAAAAAATAGGGCTAGTTTAGAGATGGAACATTTTTATCCGTATACAGGAATACAAATATGAATATATATATGTAAAAATTCACATGAAAATATTGAAATGTATATAAACTTGTATATAGTTATTTTTCTTTTGAGATGGATGTTTATAATTTGCTTTAGTTATAGTTTATAGTTATGTAACTGAATATATATGAAAATGTATAAGAAGAAATTTGGTTGCTATTAGGGTATATTTATATATAAATGAATGTATATAAAATATATGAATATATATGTGAAAATATATTTGGATACTCAAACTAAAAATAAATAAATAAATAAAAAGATAATATATTTTATAAAAAAAGACCATAAGTCTTATAATATATATATTTCAGTGATATGAAAGGACAATAAATATCACTTGTTAGGGACTAAACACAATCATAAAAATAGCAATTTTTTTCCAAAATTGGAAGTAAAAAATTATGAACTACAACAATCAATACAATTATAAAATATATTTTTAAAAAGGTGATTTTACTACAGAATCTGTGTTACCCACATGAAATGTAAGCCTTATTATCTGTGTGCAAATCAAAATTTGGAAATATAATATATATATATTTTTGGTACTGTTGATTGAACCCAGTTACCACTGAGCAGCATCATCAGCCCTCACCCTTTAAATTTTTTTGTTTTTAAATTTGAGACGGGGTCTTGCTAAGTAGCTTTGGGCCTCTCTAAGTTGCCCAACCTGGCCTTGAACTTGTGATCCTCTAGCCTCCGCCTCCCACGTTGCTGGGAGTACAGGTGTGTGCCACCATACTCAGCTTTTCTTGCAATTTTTATGATCTATGAATTAGATCAACAGACATCATGATTACATTTTGAAAGTAAACATCAGAAATCATGACAAGTCAAAATTTATTTGTTGGGCAGAATATTTTAAATAGGTATTGTCCCATAAAATTTGAGATAGAGCCAGGCACCACCAACACATGCCAGTAATCCCAGTGATTCAGGAGGTGTAGGCAGGAGGATAGAAAAGTTTCAGGCCAGTTTCAGCAACTGAGGAAGACCTTGTCTCAAAGATTAATAACACTGGGGGTGTAGCTCAGTGGTAAAGCACCTCTGGGTTCAGTCCCCACTAGCAAAAATAAAAAACAAGCAAACAGAACTTAGAGTGTTTGTACATATAAATCGTCCATCCTTGCTGCAGTAATCCTGGAGACCTGCAGTGCACATCACCAAATCCTGATGTCACCATCTGCTTCTGATGGACAGTAGTTGTGATAGTAAAGCAAATGTGACTCCATTTTGTTTTGTGACTTCATCCTGTAAAACAACCATGCCAAGTAGAAGGGTCATGACTGGGGCAAAATGTTCTTTTCCATTTGCTATAGAAACCTTTAAGAACACGGAACTACCTAATGGGGCGTTGTTTCTGTAACTAGGGT